TTTCCTTTCTGACTTCTAAGGCCAATGAACTACCATTAGTGGAAAGTATGTGTTGTAGCTGTGAAGAGGTCATTTTATGAAATTATCATTCAAGAGAGTTATTGCCTTATAGCCATTGTTTGCCTATATAATACATTTCAAAGATGTAGTATTATCTTTAAGTATTACTACATATCTTTTAGGTAAAACTTAAAACTGAAATATGGGTGTCAGATCCACTTTCCTGGACATATTCCAATATCTTCTGTTCCCCTATACTTCCTGCAGTTTCAGACCCATATAGGAACACAGAAGAGGGGCCAGGTTTTGAAACAGTGTGCAGTTATGTGATCAGTGTAAAATATTGGATGTCTTTAACTGTTTGCTTCCTAGCATAGGCTTTGTAAGTCATGCACCAGGTTAGAATACTGTCTCAAGAACCACCTATTTGTTTAAAAACAAATCCTTTAATCCATGGAATAAATATAGATTTATGTTATAGTATCTTTAAATGTATCCCAAAACAAACACCCCTGCCCCCCCCCAGCAAAAAAACCAGGTTTGCATTCATTCATGTATAAGGTCAGAATCTCCTAGCAACAAAAACAGTATGTTACTTTGCATTGTGTGTGTTTTGCAAGGATGACTCTTCTGAGCAACATTTTCTTTGCTTTAGAATCTCAAAGCAGCTCAACAGGTTCACCAGTATGACCATGATATAGATGAGCTAAAGGGATGGATGCAGGAGAAAGAGGCAGTAGTGGACATAAATGATTATGGATATGACCTGCCAGGTGTACAGACCCTCCTCAGCCAGCTTGAGGGAGTGGAGGTAAGCAAGTCTGCCTTAAAACAGTTACAGAAACACATAAGAATAACCTAACAAAGAGGCCTGCATGTGGTTAGATGATATCCTGGGGCATTCTATCAGCAAATCAACAAAATATGACTTTGGTTTGATACTGAATGGTCTATAGCACCTCAGTGCAAGAGGCCTTTCTTCCTTTTCTTACCACTGTGATGCAATATTATTATTATTTCTTGCATATTTCACTTCTTATTATGAGCTCCTGCATTGAATTCCAAACCAAACCTGTAGAGTGACTTCAAATCCATAGTTAGAAATGGATGAGGTATCTGCACTACTGCAATTAGAGCTGCAAGAATAAATGACTTTTTGGTTTGAGGGCAGAAAAGAAAAGCAAAGCAAATATTTCAGATCAACCTAAACCCAACTGTTTTTTAATTTTTGGGGGGGAAATGAAAAAAAATCCTTTTGGTTTTGGGCATATTTAACAAAATCCAAGTTTTAGATGAACAAACCAGACAAATTGCTGGTGCCTCACTAAGTATCCTAAGACCATAATTGGGATAGTCCCCTGCAGGGCGCAATGGCTCATCATTCCTTTTCACCTATGGCCAAGTGATAAGGATGCTTATGAGAGATATAGGACACTAAGGGTTCAAATAATCTCTCTTGTCAAATTCATGAATAGTTTGGGATGAACCAACAGTGCATTTTGCAGCATAAACAGTATGCTGAAGTGTTTTAGCCCTAACTAGCAATGCCAGTGACTGACATCATCCAGGACTGGTAGCTTGAGGCTGAACAAGGTGCCAACAGGGCTTGGTATTTGGTGTTGCTATGGAAGAGGTCCGGGGTGAATTCTGAAATTTGGCTTCTGGGTCCCTAAGCCAGCAGCTGCTGCTAGACCTGTAGAGTAATACACTTAGTCCCAGAAAGATTGGTAAGCCTAAACTTTGCTGTGTCTGTTCCTTTTTTTGCAACTCAGAAGGTGCTGACAGGTTCTGACCTGGGTTGGTAGTTGGTATCTCTGTCCTTTAGGTCACATGAAGGACAAGGTAAAATATTAAGAAGATCCCTAAGCATCCCTTTGGGATGCTGCAGAGGTGAGAACATGAAGGACTTCCTCAAGATTCCTTCTCAAAATAAAAACAGATTAATTTTTAAGCAGGTTTTCTGCTGCGAGTTGCTGCACAATAACTTTCCTGTTTCTCCTTTTCTTCTAGTCACTCTGCTTCTTCCTCTTCCTTCAAAACCAGTTCTAATATCACAGACTTGCAGTGTAGGCCAACATACCTGCCCCCACCATTTTGTGTTGATCCAACAACTTCTTCCCCAAGCCTCCCCAGGAAGGACACCTGTTACCCAAGAAACACAATTTTCACAGACCTTGGAGAGAGAATCCCCAAGGCTAGATGATGTTTTTCATGTCTCAGAAATACCACTTCATAATGGCTCTGAACAAGCTTGTTCAAAGGAGAACCCAGAAGAGCACTAGAAGGAAGCTAAGAGCATATAAAAAGCCCAAGTAATGAGATGTTTTTCTTCCTGTAAGAAATCAATGGGATGAAAGGTTCCTACATGATCCTGAACAGACTTTGAATACTGCTTTTGACAATATTTCCCTCCAATGCCAGTGTTGGCTGAAGCTGAAATTTATACTTTGTGTTTGGTTTTGTGATCAGTCTTCTTCTGTGTTCCAGAGAGATCTAGCTGCCATCATGAAAGCATTGGAGCGAATTCGAGGGGAGGCTAGGCAGCTCAGCCATCTGTACCCTCAGGTGAAGGAGAACATTATGGAGAGACTCACAGAGGTGAATGAGTGCTGGGAAAATCTGGACAGGAAATTCCTGGAGAGGAAGAAGAGGCTGAGCCAGGCAGAACAGGTCCAGGTCTACTTCAACGACTGCAGAGAACTGATGTATGTGTGTGGTGCCCTCTCTTTTGACAAGCAGGCATTATTTCTTGTATTCCTTAATGGATTTCTAAATTTGGCACTTGGCATTTCCCACTCCTACCCCAGTCTCTCTCTAACTTGCTTAACAGGTCTCTTTGAATAATAGGACAAAGCACCTTCTCAGCTGCAATGGCTAGAGTGGATCCCACTTAGATTCAAACTAGTCAGGTTTTCTTGAGCCTATGCCATATCAGTTATGTCTCGCAGATAAGACCATACCACTGCTCCAGCCAATGTGTCACAGACCAACAAGTTTTAGACACACTAAACTAGACAGTATGAAATGTACCAAGGGCAGTTCTCTCTCATCCTTTGCCTACCTTCTCCCCTTCTAACTTCTGGTTTCCAGGGGCAGAAACAGCAGCAAACAGCAACCAGGCATCCTGGATTCCAAGATATTCTAGAAACTGTAGTTTTCTAGAGTGGCAGTGGAGTTTGCTGCTGCAGGGATACATCTTCACCACTTTTTCACTGCTGAAGCTCATGTCAAAAGGGCAAAAAAAATTCAGATTTCAGCAGCAAAAAGTGGGTTTAATTCTCTCCCCAGCAGAAATGAACTTCACTGACACTCTACAAAACTGATTCCCGGAGTGCCTTGTACTACATGACACGCTGCTTGTGCCAGCTGCTTCCTGCACCTGACAAGTACAAGTAAAGTATGTGATGGCAGCATAAGGCCTTCCCACATTCTGCCTGGCCTGCTGGTGTCCCTGTCCTTAGACAGTGCCCAGGACATGTGCCTTTCTCGTCCATCCCATGTTGCTGCTAATACATAGTCTGAATTGTTTTATGGATACATGCACATATTCATGAATATAATATAAAAATGTGCATGTTCACGCAGCTGCAAGGCAGAACCTCAGCTAATATAAACAATCTTAGCTCTACTGAAACTCCAGTGGAGATACCTTGTCTTACATCAATTGAGGTTTTGACCCTGTAGATGCAGGGGCTTTTGCCTGAATTTTTGTGTAATTATGTTTATATGGATGCATGCCTTGCATGTGTTTTAAGTACTCTTGTGCCTGGCAATATGTCAACCTTAAGCATAAATGTATGTAGGTAGCCCTTATAGAAAAGCACTGTGAATGTGTATAATATTTACTCTTGAATGCCTGTATTTGTATGAGTTCCTATTTTAAGCATTCAAATGTGTAAAGTATTTGTTACATAAGTGTGTGTTTATACATGATGCCAGGTGTATAGCTGGCTGTGTTTTCACACTGTAGTGTGAGCTGTGGCTATATAAAAACATAAGAGTGTAACATATAAATGTAACCAAGCTGGAAACATAGCCAAGAACATATAAATGAAACCAAGCTGGAGGGTGTGTAAGTATGTACCAGTGAGTACACACATTTGTCTTTTGTGTGAAAATAAGGGTTTGTATATCTGTGCCCATATCAAATGTAAATATATGAGTTTGTGTATGCCTGTGTGTGTGAATCATTCCACTTGTGCCATCAGGAATTGTCAGTGATCAATACCTCCTTCTGACCCATTTCCATAGGGTCTGGGCCAACGAGATGTATGCACTGGTAATATCTGAGGAACTGGCAAATGAAGTTCTTGGTGCTGAACTGCTAATTAAGCGCCACGAGGAATACAAGCGTGAAATAGAGAAGCAGTGGCTAAAATATGAAGAAATGCAGCAGACTGGGAACAACCTGGTGAAGAATGGACATTTCATGTCAATGGAGGTATGCTGATAATGGGTAAAACAGGTTAAAAATCAGAAACGGCTAAGAAGACACGCTTAATGGGCCAGTGCCTCGATTCCAAATAGTACCAATAGTTCCAATAGCATCGCTCCAAGATCACACCAGATATCGTACCATGTGCCATATCTAAAGGTGTGGCACATGGTACAATATTCAGTAAATCTTCAGAGTCCCTCTCACATATTTACACATGCACATGTAGTCAGCCTCCCCACCATCTGTCCTTTAAGAGGAGAAATCAGAAAGGACGATCAAGTTCTCTAGCATTCAAAATAACAACATTTAAAATAATAATTGTCCAGGACAAGTGAAACACCTTTTAGAATTGTTTCTATTTTCTCCAAAATTAATTCTGAAGCTTACCTATACTATTTCAACAATAACTAGATTTAAATGTTGTTATTTGTTGTGTTTTTGCTATGCTAGAGAAGTATATGATGTTACCATGGGAAAAACATTTCATACAAAAAATATTCTTTAGACCTCATTGTTTAAATACACTGTATTACAATGCAGAACAAATACAGAGTGGAGTGAGGTCTTTGAACTTGTCCAAGAACATGCAGTTTACCTAGAGTTGTATGAAGAAAGAAGGAGAGAGAAACTAATTTGAAAAAATATTATGATCCTGTTATCTATGTAACTTTAGACTTTGACCTTTACAATGGCACCAAGGTTGTCTTAAGACTGTAAGTAGATCCAGAGATCACAAGATTGAAAGCATCCTCAGAATCTGTGAAAGATCCCATTACTGTTGCAAATTGTTGCTGTAGAGAAAACTAAACCATTTTCCATTGCTCTTAAAACATTCAGGGTTCTCAGACTGTGGGCAGCTGGATTTGTTTGTATTCTTATTGCTTGAGTATTACAAACTATTCTTGGAGTTAAGTGTGGTCTTGAAAAGATAAGTAGCAGATATTGTTCATACAGTATGTGGAATATGTGCATAGATATGGTATGGATATGTGGACTAAATTAAAACAAAAGGAGGAATCAAACTTCCTTTCTAAATTAAACTGGCACCACAAACTTCATTGGAGGGCTCATTATGGGTCACAAGGTCAGATTACATGTTACTTGGCTGTCAGATGAAAGTCTAATTGGATTTTTTCTCCCTTTATTACAAATGTTGCTTTCCTAGATTGAAGAAAAATTGTCAGAGCTGTCAGAGCTGATGAAGAAGGTGAGGGAGAGCTGGGACCTGAGAAAAAAGCTATACGAGGAAAACTGGGAGATCCAGTTACTCCGGAGAGAGCTAGAGCAAGCAGAAGCATGGCTGGCTGCCAAGGAGAGCTTTGTCTCAGATCCAAGCTATGGGGTGAGTAGGAACAGTGTAACACTATTAAAATACCTCTCTGCATATGCAGACAACTTGGAGTATGCTCCATCTCAGACAGCCCTCCCTCTTTGCCTACTCAGGGATTCTGTATTAATTTAATCACAGTCTAAACACTAATGGCTGAGTAATGCAGCTTTGGGATTCCAGAAAGGCAAGTGCCTTTTAAAGGGGTTAACTTAGGCCAGGGGCAATAGCTTATGGAGTAGTATAGGAAGGAGGACTGTGTAGGAAGGAGGACTGGAGAGAATTCTTACTCATTCCTTAGACTAATCAGATATCCAAAAGAACATTCTTAACACTTCATATCAAGATAAAAACCTGGTTTGAAGGAAAAAAAGATGTTTCCCCACATCCTATTAATTTTGGATACAGGGGCACTTTAAATAGATAGCTTTTGTTGCTATGTCTACAATTTCTTATTCTCACTTCAGCTGCAACAGCCTTTTCTCTTTGATGACCATGTTACAATGGTTGCAAGGGTGGACCAATAGTCATGCACTGAATTACAGAGTCCCCAGGGAAGGGACAAGATTTCCCATAAACTGGGATCCAAGGGTGCAGACAGAAGTGCAACTCGCTAGTCTAACTCATGGCACTTCACAGAAAGCGCCATGAGTTAGACAGATCCCCCAGACCCAACAGATGTTAGGTGGGGAGAGTGGGGGATCAAGCTTCAATTTGAAGCCAATGTAGGGAGAAAGGCTAAGTCTCTGCGGCCTTTTCCCCTAACTCCACCCCCCGCTACTGGCCCCCTGTTCTGTCTTGGGGTGGGAGGGGCAAAAGGCAGGGGAGGGAGGTCGATTCTAGGTTTTCTCCAGCCTGCACTGGAGTGTGGATTGGAGCCCCCCTCTTTGAGAGGGGCTCCTTTCCACTCACACCACCTTCCAGTGCCGGCTGGACAACCCACAGAATGAGTTCCCTCCGTTCCCATCCCCCCACTCTGAAAACAGCACCAAGAGCAGGGCAGGGCTGTGTCAGTCCAGCCCTGCTCCCAGCACATGCAGACGCAAGTTAATGAAGGTGTTCCACTTCTGAACACCTTCATTTGAACCCTCATGTAACGAGGGTTTAGATTGTTGCAGGATCGGGCCCTTTTAAAGCACTCTGAAGCTGTATACTTGTGTTTGGTCATGGCTGTAGAGCAGTTTCAGGGGCCAAATTAGGCAAAAATTGTCACTTCTGTCTGTGCTTCAAATATTAAATTTAGATACCAGTGGTTACAGTACAGAAACCACAATACCACAGAAAAATATCAATACCATATTGCAGTCATAGTAGTACTGCTACTAAGTTAATTGTATACCATAGAGAAGAAGAGAGGGACAAAGTGTTGCAACAACTACAGTTTTATCAAGCTACTAAAGAGGCTTGCAAAATATCACCCAGCCCTGAAAAGGTATGAACTGGCAGTCATTTGTAGGCACTACAAAAATATAGCACTATGGGGTCATACAGGAATTCCAGCCTTATGGCTGAAGTGCTACAAATTCTCCTCCAAAGCCAGGGAAGAACAGGGAGCTACTCCTTGGTCCCTCATCCCCATGGGAGCCAGATCACTGCTCTCTCTCTCTCTCCTGCTGAGAAGCTGTCAGCAATCAGCTGCTGGTCTCTTGCCCTAACCCTTGCTAGAACCCTGGCTCTTCCCTAAACCTAACCCTTCCCATACCTCCCTGCTTCACTGAACAGTTGGATCAGTGGCCAATCAGCTGTTTGGTAGATCCACACAGCTGTGCAGCTGTCACAGCAGCGGAGACCTGTATTGGTGGCCACTGCCATTTCACTAGCCCCTGCAAGTGCTGGCTCACCTCTGCTGACTGTGGCAGCTGCAAAAGAACCACCCCTGCCTGCTCTGCTTGCCCACTGTGGCCAAAAGACCAGCAGCCAACTTCTGAATGGGCTGATGAAGTGTTGGTCAGGGTAGTAGGGTCCCAGCAGGGTTCTCTGCCATCTCACTGCTGGCTGGGCCATCACAGAGCCCTTGGAGGAGGAAGAGAGAGCAGAGCACTGAGGGGTACTGGGGTTCATAGAGACCCCTGTAGTGCTAGTTGTAACTGTAGAAGCACTACATGCAGTATTACAATATATTGCCATCCTAAGAACTTCCTTTTTGAAAGAAGTACTATTTTGAAAGGGGCACCACAGTCACCCTCTTTGTAATGCCACAGACAGCTTGAATGCAAGTACACTCACTGTTTGTAGCACTACAAAGGACGTATGTACTGTTACAAATCTAATGCCCCTCTATGGCCAACAATGCTACTTTCCATGGTGGCCATTAAGGTGGATTATAGTATGGATGCTGATGGCTGACTAAAGCACTGGTGGTGGAGAGAGAAATGTTGTCAATGGATCCCATGTCTTTAGGTACCTCATTTAGGCCATGAACCATAGATCATATTTTTAAAAGAGTAGGACATTTTCAAGGTCAACCAGGGTATGTAGACACCTAACTCCTATTAACTTCAAAGGAAGTTATTTGACTAAGTAGGCTAGTTGACTGAAAATCTCAGCTTTAGTGTTCCATTTACTTGTCTAACTGGATTCCTGCATCTATTGTTGATTTTTCGACTTAGGGTTCTGTGCCTGAAGTTGAGGAGCTACTGAAGAAACACCAAGACTTTGAGAAGATGCTTGCAGCTCAAGAAGAGAAGTTTGCCCAGCTGAACAGGAAGACAAAGGTGAGGTGAAGAAGGTTGATGAAACTATAAATGATATAGGGGCTTGTCACAAAGTTGCCCCTGTAAGGAGGTTGGGGACTCAGCCTAATGACTGGAAACAGGCCTGCTAGGAAAATCAGGAATAGACTGTGGATCAGAAGTTGCCAGGTAGACTGAAGAAGACTCCAGCATGGGCAGATTTGGGAGATAAAGCTCTACCAAGAGCAGCAAGGAGGACTGTGGGGGGAGGGAGCAGAGGGGAAGCAGATAGTCCAGTTGTTTAGAGTCCCTTGTCCTGAAAACCCCTAGGACATGGTGGGTTTGAGTCCCTCTTATGCAGATACACTGCGAAGGAATCCAGTGACTGCCACTAGTAAAGGGAGCATGGTGAGACTTGATTGCCATGAAAGGGGTGATTTGGAGTCTTATCTGAAGGGCTAAAAATTGCAGCAATCTAACAGTGACAGAAGCTAATAGATAGCTAAAATTAAGGGGGAAATGGGACAGAAGTATGGTCTGACACTATATAAAGTAACCTTGCTACAGAGCTTTAAGCAAAACGTTTTCTTTTGGTTTCCCCAAGATCTTTCCTCCCTATTTTTTGCAATCACCATGGTGTAAGAGATTCAACAAAGCATAGTTTGTGTAGTTTCACACAAAGGGCTGATAATTAGTTTACTCATGTCTGTTGTTGTATTGTCCTGCTCAGATTAGAAGAGACAGCATTTGCTAAGTGAGGTAACTGAATCCTCTTTTCTAGAGAATCTCATGAAAACTGTTCCAAATGTATATTGTTTATGCAACATATTTGAAGAAGCCAAGCCACACTCTAGTACCACATGGGAATTCTGTATCGAAAATGCTGAGTCTAACTATTAAGCAAGAGCTAATAATCACTTACCAGAGATTCACTGACTTCGATGTTTATGGTTCCTTTGAAATATTCCAGTGGTGATACTAATGCCACTGCCCTCCTGTTTATGAAAGATTTGCTGCAATTTTTAGTAAGATATTAAAGATATATTTCCAAAGCTGATCCTGTATTTAAAATAAAATGTGTGTGTGTGTGTGTGTGTGTGTGTGTGTGTGTGTGTGTGTGTGTGTGTGTGTGCGCGCGCGCGCGTGCACATGCGCATACACAGGTACACAGATTATTTCACACAATATCATCTTTCTGTCTTGCAGAGGGAAATGAAGCTCCTCCAACAGACTGACACTGAGGAAAATGATCAAAAGGAAAAGGGAAAACTCATTCGGATCCCCTCTCTAAAAAGAAAGCCCTCAGACAGAAAGTTCCCATCCTCAAGACTAATAGAGATAAAGAGCACCCAACCATTGCCATCCAAGTCCTCTCCTAGTCTTGCCTTGAGGAGCCCCCTGAAAACTATTTTCTCCCCAGTCCAAACATCTCCAGACACATTTAAGAAATTCAGTTATGGAGAAGTCCCATTGATGGTGAGCAGCACTAATGGAGAGATGGAAGCTGAGAGAAGGCCCAGTGAGACTAGTTTTCCATCTACATCAAAGCCAATGGGTCCACATGCTGTGACTTCAGGAAGCCCTGTTTCTCAGAAGCCTTCTTTTTTATCTACCAGCAGTTTCACTGACCTCTTATCAAACCATAAAAAACATGTTGGAAACGGTTCCCAATTTGACCTAGAAACAAAGGTAGCCATGACTTCACCTGGTCCTGGCCAGAGGTCTCCAAATTTACCACAGTCCAGTTTCTCCTTTGAGAGCTCAGTGAATGACTTCTCGGTAAGTTCTGAGCATTAGTGGTGTAACCTGGGTGGGGTGACGTGGGCAGTTGCCCCAGGCACCAACTTTGGGTGGAGGGAAGAGTGGAAAAACGGAGCTATCGGCCAAACAATCACACCAGAAGCAATGGTGGCAACCAGAAGTCACCACTACCTCTGTGTGTGGCAGCTGCCCTGGGTGCCCAGCTGTGGTGTTACACCGCTGCTGAGCCAGCACAATGGGTGTAATACCCAGATGCATATTATGTGGAAAAAATAAATATGAAAAGACTATAAAGATCAATCACATACCCAAAGTTTCCAATAGCTCCCCCACAGATCTAAAAAGCAAGAAACACCAAATGGCCCTTTACATACTTGCTAAATTATCTGGAAAGGTATCCATATGAAGCAATATGTACCAGAAGCTTTAGCAGCCTTTATAAATAGTTCATTCTGATGGAAATTGTTGTTTACTAACAGGCAAGAAAGTATTATTCCCTCCCTTTAAAATGAGCATATCACTCATAAAAACTTATTTCCCTAGGGCCAGGAAGCAGTTGCTCTGCCTCATATATTTACATATTCTTGGCAAGATATCTCATTCCTATGGTGAGATTCTTAGATTAAATTTCTTCCAGTAAGATTTCAGCTGAATTCATATCCTAGAAAATCTTTTCTTGTATCTTGTCATATATCATGCCTGACTTTACTGAAAAAAATAACATTAAAATATGACTGTCTCAAATGAAAAATGCAGATATTCACTCATAGAGCCAAACCTTTGTCTGCTGGAGACATATTTCAATACAAAAACTAGACTGACACAAATTGCATTCACTAAATCTCTGATTCACTTGCACAAATAATGTGTCATGTCTGATCTCATACTTTGTATGCCTTGTAGGTTTTCTTGCAATTACTTGATTTGTATACACATGTCTTGAGGGCCTTTGTGTAAGATTAGAAGGAAGCTGATACATGAAAAGAAGTGATTTAATTGTGCAGCCAATGATAACCTTTACCATTAAAAACATTTCTATGTGGTATTATATATAAAAATAAATGTGGTGTGTTTGCTAAGTCAAACACATACATAAGAAAGGGCAGATGAATAGCTAGCTGAAAAAAAAAGGAATTTCCATCTCCTGAGAATTTCTGAGGTTTACATTTTTCATTTCATTCCAAAACAGGATAAAAAAGTCAACATCTCATGAAAAAAACATCTGACATATATTTTATCTGAACCTTATTGTTTCAATTTTAGAAGATATAATTAAATTTAAAACAAACATTTTAATTAATTCCCATATTTTTTTTAACAAAACCAAGGTGTTCTTTAAGAGCATTCTGATTTTGTCAAATCAGCATTTTCCAAGTGGAGGAAAATTGGACTGTGAAAGCTTTATTTAGCCCTCTTGTGTATATAACTTTGATTACATAATCCCATGCTTTTTTTTTTTTATTGAGATGCCTTTTCCCAGTGAGCTGTAGATCTAGTTGCTGACAGCAGAATTATGAGATTCAGGAATGCTGGTTTGTGTTCAAGGTTCTCAGGCGAGTGCGTTCTAGAGGTCACAGGGTTGCTTCTCTATGTGTCACCCCACCCCAGTCCCCTTCGAGTATACACTGAGTTTTATTTTCATCCCAGTCTCCCAAAATTAGCCTACCTACCACTCCATTCATTTAGCTCCTCATCCCACTCCTGTTTTCACTCTTCCCACACCCACAAGGCTTCTTCTCCTAGTCCAAGTCTCTTTCCTGACTCCTTTTGCCAGTCTTTTTTAACATTAACAGGGACATATGTTTTTTTTTTCACATACATAGTTCTGAAACACAGCTCAGCCAGTTTGGTTTTTTTTCCCCAAAAAATGAGTTTGAAGCATAAGCACAATATGGAAAATTTCAATTGGAAAGATTAGCAATTGAAAATTGGAAAAGCTGTAAGTAAATTAAAATAGGTTATCATAGAAGATGTTGGGCAGCCCTGATTGTACAAGCATCATTACCTGAACCCCTTATAATATACTGCTTCTTTTTTTCTCTGTTATCAATATCTGTATAGTCCAACACCCACTTCTGACTGTTACATAAAGTTATATTGCCAAATAATATCAAGAAAGGACTTTTTTTGTAACAGCATCAAGAAAAAAATAATAGAATGTTATCTTTAGTTGTATTAAGAGACCTATCGAATTCCAGGATTACTTTGTAGAGCCATAACTAAACTCTGTTTGCATTATACTTAAAATATAGTATCCACTGGCTTATTGCCTTATTATAAATGTAGAAATAGGTTAACAGAATGCAGAGATAACAAAAATATGGCAACTGAGATGAACAACAGAGGGATTTGCATACAAGGGAGGTATTGACAATGCTAATTCTTTAGTACTAAGAGAGGTACTTAAACTAGTTAAATTTGATTATAAAATTTATGATCTATGGTAACTGGAACTAGGGAAAATATGGAACATAAGTAAAAAAGAATTGAAGGGAATATTAGAAGTGAATATATAGAAAGTATTTTATGCAATGCATATTTAACTTGTGGAACTCATTGCCACAGGTGGTGGTGGAGGCAAATAGCATTGCCAGGTTCATAAAGGTGTGCGGGCCGGGCGCGACCCAGGCCCTTTTTTGTGCTCTGCGTGGGCTGTGGCCAGCAGCCCGGGCATGCGGGGTCAGAGAGGGCGCGTGACAAGCTAGAATTAGGCACAGACTCGTAGCGGTAGATTTAAAGATTGTTTACTTACACCGAAGATGGTTGCGGTGCAGGCTGGAAAACTTGCTTGAGTTGCGGTTATAGACAAAACAACACGAACGACCACGTGGAGTTTGCTAGGCTCCACGGAAACAAAGCTCCGGATGCTCTGGACAAGCGTGCCACCGAAATAGGAACTTCGTAAATACGTCTTATAAAATTATCGCTCAAAGACGGGAAGAGGTGGGCGATGGATCAGGTCGCCAAACTCCTCTGAATCTCACACAGGGTTTCTATTACCCTGCCATGTACCCAGAGAAACCGCTCAAGCCTCTTATACAGCTAACAGGCCAATCGTTAGCCGCCACTTGGGAATAATTTAGAACTAGCCAATTGCGGGGAACAAATTTGCATGCGGGTGGCAGAAACTCCTTTGCACCGTGCATTTCTCTTGCAACTTGAGCAATGCACCCTGCAAAGGAAGCTGCAAATAGGCGGGAAACTCTTCCTTGCACCGGGGTTCTCCTCTGCAGCAGAAAACTCTACCGTGCAACGAAGCTGTAATTTGGCGGGGATAATTCTAGTGCCGAAGCACACACAAAATCTCATACCCTTGGGTTATGACAAAAGGGACTATATAAATTTATGGATGATAGATGTATGAATAGCCATGGTAAGGAATGATTGGCAGTTTTTCTTCTGGCATCTCTAAACCAATAATGGTGGAGGCTAGGGTGGGTTTCAAATATGGAATAGATCACTTAAGATGTATCTGGTTCAATGCTCTCCCTCTATAGCATCTGCTTCCACCACTCTCAGAGTCAGGATACTGGCCTAGGGGCACCATTGGCCTGACCTAGTATGGCACTTCTTACATTCTTAAAGTAATATAAATGGCTTAGTTCCCCACACATACATAATAAAAAGTCCTGGAGATGTATTAAAAGAACTTACTGAGAAAGTGTTATGAAATACTTCGACCATTTAATTAATGTTTTTGAGTTGTAGGTGTGCAAGTTGGCATCCAAATGCATAAAACTGTTTATATTTCTCCAGTGTTCTCCTGTGCCATAGAATGCCAGAGCAAAATCCTTACATAGATTTTGGGTCAGGCAACTTCTGGATAATTCTCACTCTATCTGGTGAAGAATTCAGACTCATTTTTAGGATTCGTACAGAAACACATGATATAGTTACATTATTTTTATACTCCAAGAAATGGTATGGGCAGACTGGAAAAAAAACCTTAAATGCAATCCCATGATCATATTGTTCAGGATAGGTCAAAATATTTTCATTTGGGTAGTAAACTACATTTGTGTTTGTGATTCACAGGTTTCCAAATTCTTTGGTTGCTTCTGAAATTGCTGACATACTTCTGAAGACTTCCTCAGAGTCAAATAGTAATGCCTTTGTGTGTATGTGTTTTGTTTTGTTTTTTTTCAGGTTTCCATGAGTCACCAGAGCATGGAGGGGTTACTAGAAAAGAGAGACCAGCTACTTCCAGGAAGAAAATTGGTAAGAGCAAATACACTCACTTTCTGTTCAGCCCCCTTTCTTTGACTTCTGACTAAATGGCTAAAGGACTTGACTGGGTCAGAGTCAACTGTCGCCGTAGAGGAATTCAGAACTAAAGGCTTTGTTTGATTTTTGACTGACTACAGCCTAGGGTGGCATGGCTTAAACTGCATAGATAGGAGAGATATTACTAATCTATTTGCAGATAGAGCCATTAATTATATTCTGTCATGATCTTTATTCACATAGCCAACATCAAGATCTTGGAAATCGTGTTATGTGAAACTCAGTGGAAAAACACTTGACTTCTACAATAATGAAAAACAAGCAGCCCAGGTAATTTGTTTCTTAGATCTTGCAGGTAATCTTCAAAGTTGCCTTAAATTTGTTTCATATTTCCATTCTAAACAGTCAATTTATTTAAAAATAATCATAAAAAATCAAATCAGTTGTCTTTGCTGTTGATTGAGGAAAGGGGTTTTTTTATGTTTCATACATCAGTTAATCAAAATTTACTGTCTAATAAGCATAGGTTCTAACTAAGATAGAAAAATATGTTTGGGAGTTAATATGTGCCTTTAAGACGCAATGAAGTATGAGTACTTTATCATGTATAAAAGATGTATCTTGTAGAGTTCTTGCTACTAGCGGAACTAGTCAGATAGCAGGGGAAAGTAGTGCTCCTGAACTTGTTCAGAGAGGCATGAGTTTTTGTAGGTTACAGCCTACTTTGTGTTAAGATTAGTGAGAGAGACGGTATCAGCGTATACTCACATTCACATTGTGAGTATGAGATTAAATTCTAAAAGAAAGGATGCTTAAAACATTCATTTGTAATTGCTTTCTTCTTCAGAATATAACCACAATCTTGAGTGTCAGTGTTGAGGGTGCCCAGTGTGAGAAGTTGACTGGCTACGTCAGGAAAAACAACACCTTCAGTTTACGGTAAATCCCATGGATAGATGTGATAGCAAAACCTTTATGGAAATCCTCTAGTGTTGCATGTATTTATAGCCATACTAATACAAGTCTAACCCAGAAACAGATGTTGTGGGATGCACATGAAGAGTGCTGGCTGTGTAGGAATTGCAGGTATTGCAATTCCTATCCCACTCAACAGTAATAATGTAAAAGCTGAAACTAATTGTATGACCATCCTTGTATCTTTGCTATTCACAGGCTGATTGATGGTTCAGAGTTCTACTTCTCAGCCCCTTCTCAAGAGCTGATGGAGGACTGGGTACAGGCCCTGAAGAATAATATGAGTAGGTCCTGATTCATTTTGTCTTGTTTAGCAAGTGATGATAAGGGAAAGGGGAGAAGCACTCTAAAGGATGATGAACTGAAAAGCAATCCCTATTTTGCTGCTTTTCCTTGAAATGTGTTTGAGGTCTCATTTGACTCCTCTAGACAACAGCATATGCCATGGCATTTTACAGCTTAACACATGGGCTAAGGACAGATATTCAAAAAGCCCAAGCCTGAAGTGATGCAGTCGTTGCAAGTTAGTCTAACCTGCAGAGATTGAACCAGTTTGCAAGGGAATAGATGTTCCGTTTTCATTCTGGAAATACAGGCACATGCCTGCAGTGGCTCAGGCCAGAAACCCGGGGGTGCTAGAGCAGCCCTTCACTTCCACAGAGCCCTCCCTCCCCCACACCATCCTGGGGAGAGGTGGTGGAGGAAGAGTCCCCCCCACAACACAGAACAGAGCCTTGGCATAGCCCCGTTAAGGTGAAGGTGGCAGGGAGAAGGGTTAATTCCTCCCTCCGTCCCTTCTGCCTTGCAGCCAGGGTCTACCAGCCCCGTTGGCCACCACCACAGCCCCCTCCTCTCTGCTTCCCAGCAAACAGGCAGACCCTGGCTGCAGTGGGGGAAGACAGGAAGGAGGGAAGAATTAACCCTCTCCCTGCCCACTTTGCCTTAACGGGGCCATGCTGGTCAGTGTTTCACTACAGCCTGTCCCTGCTTAGGCTAGAGAGCAGGGGGGCAAGGCCAGCCCTGTCCCAGTAGCAGAAAGCACAATCTAGCCCAGAGAACATGCTGGGATGCTTGAGGACTCTGGTTTAACTTAAAGTAGGAAGGGGTCTGGAACAGACATTGCATAAACCAGTTTGAGCTCAATCTGTTAAGTCTGATACTACATTCAGCTAGGTTTATCTCAAACTAGTTTCAGCCATTTTATGTGCACTGAATGTCTGTTCTGTTACAGGTTTAAACCAGCTTCTGATCACTTAAACTGGTTTGTGTGTAATGTCTGTCCCTAGCCATGGTGACATAGTAGTAAAGTCTTCAGGATGACTTAGAAGCAGTCTCTCAGTTGTAGTCCAGTTACAATCAGGTGGCTAGCATCCTACTGCCTGAGGCATGAGTGACTGGTGCCTCCCAAGTCTGG